CTGGGCTGGGGGCGCAGGGCCAGGGCAGGGCGGAGGGGGTGCCCGAGGGCCAGGGGGTCCCTTCAGCCTCACCAAAGAACAGGCGGGGGGGGCGCCCCCCGAACCGCTGCCCACAGCCCCCGCGGTACCTGCTGTCCTTCTCTTCCCCAGTCTATTATGTCGTATAACGGTGGGGCCGTAATGGCCATGAAGGGGAAGAACTGCGTGGCCATTGCTGCGGACCGGCGGTTTGGGATTCAAGCGCAGATGGTGACCACAGACTTCCAGAAGATTTTCCCTATGGGAGAAAGACTGTATATTGGATTAGCGGGACTGGCCACGGATGTGCAGACGGTGTAAGTGAGACTCCTGTCCGCTTGTCCTCATACTGAGCCTGTAAGAGGCATATTTACAGTAAATGCTAAGTGACAGCTTAAGCTGAGCATAAATGTCTTTGTTTATTTGTGGGGAAGGGTATAATGACTGGGTGCCAGCACTCCTTTTCTTGGTCTCACTTCACAGGGAGTTTTTTTAAATAAAATTGCACATGATTTAAGATCACATCACTACTAAGACTTAAATAACTTCAGGTATAAAAGGAGCTGTATCTGGGATCCCCACCTGCCTCAGGCGTGTGTCAGGAGCTGGTATCTGTCAACGTGCAGTAGAACAGTTCAGGCCTGGGTGAAGAGGAAAGAAAAAGGAACTTGCTTCTGCTGTAATGCTGATTCTCGTCTCTTGCAGTGCCCAGAGACTGAAGTTCAGGCTGAATCTCTACGAGCTGAAGGAAGGCAGGCAGATCAAACCTCAGACTTTTATGAGCATGGTTTCCAATCTGCTCTATGAGAGACGGTAACTGTCAAACAACAGTCGCTGTTTACGTGTCAGTGAACGCTGTGGTTGGTGGAGTTGCTCTGATTCTAGAGAGGGGGGAGGTTGAGGAGGGCTCCTGTAAAGACTACTTGTGGTGTGGCAAAGGGAGACTTCAATCTAGTGACAGTGTTCAACTTTTTTGCAAAAGAGTCTCGAGTGTTGTTAAAATAATCCCGTAGCAGTACAAGTTCTGTTTGCCAGGCTAAAACCACTGCGGGATGCTTCTAGGTTGAGCTGAAGGTGTCGTTCCCCCCACCAAAGGCATCCGTGGGGTGTTCTCCTTGGATGGGTGTTTACGTGGGATGTGGAGCTGCTCCGCGGTGGTGGGACGATGGCTCTATGCCACGTTGTTCTTCACAGGTTTGGACCTTACTACACAGAACCTGTCATTGCCGGCCTGGACCCCATCACACACGAACCTTTCATCTGCTCTCTGGACCTGATCGGCTGCCCGATGATAACCGATGACTTTGTGGTCAGTGGCACCTGCTCCGAGCAGATGTACGGCATGTGTGAGTCCCTCTGGGAGCCCGACATGGTGAGTGGGGTGGCCAGGCTCAAATCTGTGATTCAGCCTCCTGCTGTTCACTGGAGAACCCGAGATACACGGGTCGGATGAAGAGTTCTGTCCTTTGGTCCTTCCCGACACAGCTCAGGAGAACAAAGAGGCTTTTAACAGCCCAGAGGAAGAATCCTGACGCATCTTGGGGGTTTTAACCAAAATTTAATGACACAGCATTCAATTTTGACACCAACTAAAGTAGCTTCTGTTCCTCAGGAACCCGATCACCTCTTTGAAACCATCTCGCAGGCCATGCTGAACGCCGTGGACAGAGATGCCATATCTGGAATGGGCGTGGTAGTACACATCATGTAAGTGCTGCTCGCTGCCCTACAGAACAGAGGTAGAGTTTAACGAGCCGGGCATTAAGGCCAGTTCAGGCATTGCTTTCCAGGGTATCCCTAATCCTGCTCCCTTCCAGCACTATCCTCAGGAATGTTTTGTCCATTCTAAGAGTTTTATTTCTCACGGCCACTCTGTTGCAGTTCCTGGAACTGCAGGAGTCGTGGGAGACAAATCCGCGTGTTCCTCTTGCTGCACGGGGCTTCCCTGCCTGCGTTCCTGTCCCTACTGAGGGCTGTGACCCCTTGTACGGGGGTGGCACTGGCCAAGAGGATGCTCTTTGCCACAGCTGGGCGTGACCTTGACTTTGGGGCTCTGCAGCAGTTTGTTTGTTTTGCTCGTGGTGCCATTTCCCTGTGGCATCGCCAAGGCTCCCCTGGGGTGGGGCAGCAGAGGGATGGGTTTTACTCTGTTCTAACGGCCACCTTCAAGTTCAGGTGATCCTGCTTGCACTAGCCTGCAGCTTCATAACGAAAGGACAGTCTGTAGGTATTAAACGTGGATTTACTAAGCCTTCTCTCTTTCCCCTCTAGAGAAAAAGACAAGATCACCACCAGGACTCTCAAAGCTCGCATGGACTAGCCCAGCACATCCGCTCGTGTTTCACACCCCGGTCTGCTTGGAACTTTTTTAAATAAAACTCTATTGTAACGAACTTTCCTTGAGTCTGAACACTAGGATTAAGTTCTCATCTCTAAAGCTGCCAGGAGGAGCTTGGGTTTTACAGGGGAGCAGAGCTTACCTTTCCCTCTGAGCCTGCACAAACCTCCCTCAGGACCCCCGCGGGCACGAGACACTGAGCTGCAGCATCTCTGCAGCCAGCCTGGCGCTATTAGCTGCTCCCATCAAATTGTTCTCAGAGCCAGGACTTGGTAAAATCAGTTCTTACTTAAAAACTCTGTTTTACAGGCACGTATAAAAGCCACTTTCTCAGCTGTGGCTAATTGAGGACTGAAAATGACCACATATCTCACGGAGTGACAGCTGATCATTAGAGCCTTTTAAAGAGGACAGCAGGAAGGAACAGATGTACACAAAGTTTTTAATTTTATTTTTCTCTGGTTGGAGACTCATCTTGTAACATGCATGCATTTCAAAACAGTAACAGTGTCTCAAACTGCTCCTAGCAAACAGACAAGCACAGAGGACTTAAAATTCCTATTTAAAAAACAGCAGTGAAAAAACCTAGAATGCTTTTTTTTTTTTTTTTTAGTTTTAAACTTAATTTATTCACATTTTTTTTCAGTTGCACTGATTAGCCCTGCCCACCCTTGTGACCTGTGTGTAATAATACGCTTTGCTTGACTCAGTTTAGTGCTGTGCAGCTCAACAAGGACCAGCACAACTTCCGAGCGGTGAAAACCGCAACCACTAAAGATGGTGGGTGAGCAGCAGTTGGTTTCCCCAAGCTTTGCCATCGCTATTACACAAGATACTCGTGTCAAAGAGCAAGGAAAATCAGTAGTGGCTAATACGGATACCGGAGAATGGCTCTGCAGAGTAGGGGGAAGTTGATGGGCAAACCTGGAATGGGGCATTAAGACACGGACGGGGAGAGGAGAGCTGTTCTGGGTTTGGAGCTATTGTAAGGACGATCTGTCTCCGATGGGTTACGTGGTGTTGGGGACTGAGTTTAGGACACGCACACTGACTTCTGAAAGGTTTGTACCACCTCGGGGTTCAACGCTTTGACCTCTGCGCAGCTTGAAGGGAGGCATCTTATAAAGACTGCATAGTAGTCACAGGACGGGGAGGCATCCGTCCATCGAGGCTGAGACACAACCCCTCCCAAACACGGCCCATAACTACGATACAACCTCGCTTGTGCCTTTCTGGGGCTGAGAGGAGGCCCTCGCTGCAGGGGCTCGCGAGGGGAGAGCAGGAGTTTCCTCCCGGAAAAGGAAGGAAGGCTCAAGTGGTTTTGTGTTCTTGCAATAATCCAATTCAAAACCACGTTCTCTGGAGTAACAGCCTCGTGTATGCTGGAAATCTAGAGTCACCTACTACCCCAGAAGTTCTCCCCGTGACAAATTTCACCATCGTGGCCTTTAGAATTAAAACCAGGTCAATCAGAGGCGTGTACAGGACCAGAGGGAAGGATCCCACCGCTCCTCGCTGGGAGAACTCAACTCCTGCTGACGCTCTTCTCCCATAGAGCAACCACCAGCAACCACCTTCCCAGCGCTGACCCAACGGGCAGGCGCTGCCTGGTACCTCCAGGACACGTGGTTCCTATTAAAGGGTGACCCAGCGTGCTCTCGAGTGGGTTTTATTGCACTACTGGAGCAGAACAGCACCCAAACTGCGACTCCGCACTCTGCCTTCCCTCTCCCACTCTTTATTCACGCTGTAGGAGCTATCTCAACGGGGAAGATCTAAGTTCTAGGTTCAAAGCAGTTTTTAGTTCTGAAATTCTGACAGATCAGGCCCATGTTCTGAAAGAGAGAGACCCTTGGTACAGGCAGGACTGCGCATCCTGCAGCTCACTTCTCACACAGACTCACCCTGCCTTTGGGCACCGGAGAGAGACACTGCACGCTAAGTTTGTTTTTCCTTTTTTGAAACTCCAGTTGGAAAAAAAAAAAAATAAAAAAAAGAAATTGCATTGCAGTTTCTTGAAAAATCCTGCACTCTGACCAGGATCTGAGTGATCTGCCTACCTACTGCAACTCTTTCAGCTGAGGGTGGTTTTTCAGTCAAATGCACTTCAGTGTAAAGTGTTCCGCAGGGTACATGCTACAGACAGAAATATCTACATTCAGCAAACTAGAACTAAATTCACACCAGAAACAGACGACAAACTAGCACAAGCAGTTGTAAAACCAGAATTGAAAGGGCTGGGTTTTCCTTTTAAATACTCGAGTTAAAAAAGTGACCTAAAACAAGATTAAAAAAAAAACCAAAACGAAACAACGAAAACAAAAGAAAAAAGTCCCTTTTAAAAACAAATCAAATATTTGCAGCTTCACTTCTTATTCTGGTAATAAAAATACTGTCTAGAAACAAAAAAATTAGCATTTTTAACGTAATGCTACCTCTCAAAATGTAAACAATATACAAAATGCTTATGTTAACAAAGTTACATACCTGGGTAATACATCATTAAGTGAGAAAATTGCATTTAATTACTTTAATACACACAGTATGGCAACTTGACAGAAGTGGCAGAATTGGGGAAGTGCTAAAGTGAATAGAGTTTATGGGGCTTTTCGTATCAACTTGAGCCAGAGACAGCCAATTTAATTCGAGCAGGACTTTGTTAGGAGTGGAATAAGAAAATACAGTTCACTGCTCTTAAGCCCTTAGTAACAGGACGTCTGTCAAAACTGCTGCAGGAACTAACTTAGCATTCTAATTTCATTCATGTTTATGAAATTCAGTGAATGAGACTGCTGCTCCTAGCTATGCAAGCTTCATTCTTCTACTTTCTTTGGGTTGTTTGTTTTGTAGTGTCTCGGTGCAGGATGCCTGCAGTTCACTAATTTCCTTCTCTCTTCCTCCCCCCTTTATCTTTTTTTTTTTTTTTTAATATACAATTTAAAGACAAACAGTTTAAAAGGTACAAGCTAGTTTCCCAAAAGGAGAATGGCAAACTTACCAGGCCAAAGTTGCGGATTCAATGCAGATTTTTAAAACTGTCAGGAATAAAAAGTGATGGGTATTTAATTTCTAATCGATAGTAAACTTAAGTGCTTATTGTTTAAGAGAAAAGCAACCGATATAATGCCCACAAAACTAAGCTGACGATACCCTCTGTGTCCTCCCTTTTTAAAGTATTGTCATAGCTGCATTTGTTTTGTGGCTTTTCCAGCTACACACCTTAAGACATGAGACTCTTCAGCCTCCCAGACGACGGTGTGTTCGCCCCCACATCACACAGAACAAGGGACTGGACTACAGCGGCAGAAGAAATTTGTCCCACGTCAAAGGGAATGACCCATGAATGAATAAGAAGATTCATATCCCATTATGACCCCTAATATTAACTTTTGAGTTCTTAAAGACTCTATTTACAGTGCACTCTTATGGGCTGAAACTTTAGCCCCCTTTTGTCCCCTTCGAAGTTGAGACCTGTGGGATTCACATCACGAATGTGGGTATGAACATATTAAAAAAAAAAAACCAACAAACAAGCCCACATTCAGAATCCAGACCAGAGCTAGCGTTAGTCTAGGGAAATTACCAGGATGTGATGAGCACCAGTTATCTCTCAAAAGGACCAAATTCCACACAGCAAACTGTAGCACGCGTTACAGCACAGGACAGACATCCGAAACAGCTTATTCCCGAAACAAAGGCATATGTGAAAACAGTTTCAAGGCAGATAAGCAACATGTTTCAACTGCAAGAGGTTTGTTCAAAACGCTAAATCCTGCTTAGAAAGAAAAAAAAAAAAAAAGAAAAAAAGAAAAAAAAGAACCAAAAGGTCTGTAACTGTTGTGCAGTAGAGCTAACAAAACCCAAAGCAAGCCTGACAAGCTTGGCTGTGAAAAATATTACAAGCATTCTGGAGACAAAACAGGACGTTATTCAGTCACGCAAATCAGTTCCAATTCCTTAAGGGGGGGCGGGG